AGGTTGCAAGTGGGCTTATACAAGATAGGCTAAGAGTTATTAAAGATAGAGGGGCAAACAAGAGTGATAGGATCAGCTTCCGTTTTGGGGAGTGAAATCCAGCATGATGAATGAAAATGGATCAAATGTATGGAATTGACTTTATTGTTAGACATTTACAGTCTTACACAGTACAACGTACAGTTTGTCCTCTGCATTAAACCCGTCTTAAGAATCAAATGTATATGGTGTGGCTTAGAGGTAAACCGGGTTGTCCTATAATAGGAAATATGGCGGTCCGATCCCCGGATCCTCTAGTCTGCATGTCCTTCGGGAAGATACCCCAAATTGCTCGAGAAGGATGTGCCATCGGTGTCTGCTCTGATGAGCAGCTGGCAGCTTGCGTGGCAGTCTCTGCCATCAGTGTGTGGATGTGTGAATGTTGACAGTAGTGTGAAGTGCTTTGAATGGTCAGAAGAGTTGAAAGTGCTATATAAATGCAGTCCTTTTACCATTGTGCATGTAGTTTTGATTGTTTAGATCTTTAGGACTGCAGTCAATGCAGATACAGAGAGTTTGTTTCAGAAGAGAAAAAAAGTAATCCTGACCATGACTTTAAAAGATTTTTAACAGATTAACAAATTGTGACTACAGAAAAACAGGATGCATTAAAGCCCTGACGTAATGGCATATTTATGTGATAACATGATAGGGTTGTTTTCCATTTTACCTTAAAACTGTTTGTACAAGAATAACCCGCCCACTACTGTATACGTAACACACACACACACACACACACACACCACTTAACCTCCGTCCAATTATCTCAAATAAACTCATGTGATTAAATTACTTTATTAAATCCAGATCTCACAGCTGTAGTGAGCAAAGTCTCTGTTACGGTCTGCATGGATGTTGCTGGGGGTCAGAACAAAAGGCCATTAACTCTTGCATGAACAGTAGAAATGTTTTATTACTCTGGATAACAAGTGAGCACCTCAGTTATTATTATGAATGGAATCTATAATACTGAATCCTCCAAAAGCTTGAGGTAAATGACAGGTAAATGACAGTATACTCTGTGTTTCAGTAAAGCGTGGTGAATTGATCCCTCAGAGGGAGAAAACCCAGAATGTTGCTTTAAATAAAACTTGTTTCTTGGTCAGCGACTAACAAAACATAAAGGTTATTATCTTCTGCATACAATATATTATGCCTTGTTGATCAGTTATTGCGTTGTGTATATGAAGTAAACATAGGTTTTGTTGGCTTTAACTAAAACTCAGATAGATGTAACTTGGCACTTAATAATACTGAAGAACCAATAAATCAAACAAACATGGACGCACGCCTCAAGTCAGCCAAAGTCCCTCGTTCAAGTTTATCAAACTAAAATGTTATGGATATAGAGCTGTGTTGTCATTGTAGTAACCAACAATCATACAGCCATCATGAGTTGTACAGAGTTGTAAACATGCAAATGTTTCCCAACTCTACTATCCATCCCATAAAATGTGAATGTAGTATTAGAGTTAACAGCGATTTTGAGTCTGGAAAGAGATGTTTAATTTTTTGAAATGTCAGTTTCAATGCTGTGAGCACCTCATCTACCTCCATTATAGTTGGGTGGAAAAAATCTCCAAAAAGTCCTCCAGATTAAACAATACTTAATTTGTCCATACTTTCTAGAACAAAGTGTTTTATTTTTCTGTGCCTTCTACAGACATTGTACCAAAAACCGACTATTCTAATAATAATAGTAATATAATATAGCTAGAAGACATTGTACTGCTGTTCCCTGGCATCAGCTAGTTATTATACTGACAAGTGTCAGTATAATAACTAGCTTGTTGATTATTAAAGGAAATGAATTGTGGTTGATGCCTCTTGACAAGTTATTCAGATAAGGATCATGTTGAGAAATGAAAATGATGGCCTGATAGGCAAGTGTGGTGTTAAAAAGCATTACAAATACATCAACATGAGTTATTAAGTTATTAAGATTAAGATGTTTAATGTTTAATGAGATTCTATCCAGGTTTATTGGTTACGCTTCATTTGCGTTCTACTTATATTCCAAGAGCTTAAAATAAGTACTCACTGTTGTGATGACAGCTTGTTTACTGCAGCACGACAACGTCATGCTTTATCAGCAAGCCTCATCTGTGGCTTCGAGCTGTAGTAGGATGTTAGCCGCTCATGCAACAGTCAGCTGGGCTTTCTCTTAAATGTATTAATCATTTCCAGAATTTCTAAAAAGTTGTTAAAGTCACTCGGGTCAGCATGGACCGGGACACAGGTACTGCTGTTATCGCTCAAGCCCTCAGAGACTGCTGAGAGGGCCTCAACATGGCTGGGGATCAGGAGGGGTGATCTGTAGGCCAATGATGCTGGGACACAAGTCAGTGTGTCTGAACAACCCGCTGCATCCCTACCTTTTTAGAACATTACGACACTGATGCATACTCTTTTTAGATCTTTTTAGATACCTGTATGCAGTATATTTTTCTGTTCCGTAGACTGCTGTGGCTCCACTGTAGACTTATTCTAATGTGACACTGTGACATCAATGCATGCATGTGCATGAAGGGAACTATCTATATGTAAATACATATGGTATGTCTCTATGTGTATAAATTCTAATTTATTCCAGTCACCTGGTTGAATAAAGGGTTAAAAGTCAGCTTGACTCCTAAGGAATGTGCAGTATATCCAGCTGTTCCTTAATCTGACCAGTTTATTTAGGAAGACCAGAGAGAGAAAGAAGGACAGACTGAGTGAGAGAGAGGGATGATGCTTGTGGTTGAAGTGTGTTGTGTTAAAGTGGCTCTAAATGGTTTTATACTATGTTATTATGGAGCCATTCTAAAGATGCTGGCATGCCAAAGCAAAGAAATACAGTGTGGAGGTCATACTCAGAGCCTACACTGTCCATTGACTCTGTGTTAGACTGGAGCAACGCTGCATTCAGATGCTATTCATAAATGCAGCTCGTTTTCACTGACAGCATCAATGGACATAACTCAGAACAAATACTTTTACATTAATGCAGTTTTGCATTAGATGATTGTGCAGGTCATATTCAATATGACTGAATTATGTAGTTTACATGCTTTCATGCATACACATGCAACACACTTTTTGTCTGCTTGCTGCTACTGTATGCAGGTTTATGCTTGTAGGCACACATGTGGCAGCCAGTAATATAATAACTATAGTTAATGTAACAACTGCTAAAAACTTAACAATTGTTCAGTTCTTTTTTCTTTTTTTTTTTTTAAGATATTCTGAGGCTTTTTATGCCTTTATTTGACAGGACAGGTGAAGATAGACAGCAACAAAGGGCCACAGATTATTATTGACTTATTGGCTTTTATGACATTAAGAAAGGAAGAATTATCAATGGCAGTTATTACATTAACAGTAGTTATTACATTGTTACACAATCAGTGCAGCCGAAGAGTGAAGGCCAAAGAGGTAATTATACAATATCTCAGTTTAAATCGTATGCTCATATCCAACAGTCAACAGTGGAGGAATCTGACTTCCAAAAAATAAAGTTGAGAAGAATGAAAACTCACAAAAAGTAACTTTTGATGTGTATACAAAACAGCAGCAGAAGTGCAGGTGTAAATCATATGGTGGTTGTAATTTAACATGCAGTTAGATGGTGGGTTTGAGGTTAGTGTTTTCCCTGTTCTGTCTGAGGAGGTTGTTTCGTTGCACCACTCTTCAGAGGAGAGAAATGCCAAACAGTTATACAAGACAGATGCAGCATGTATTGCACTTATAATGATTTATTGATGTACTACCAAATATCTACTAACCTGAACACCTGATGTGATGTAAAAATCAACAAAAATGCATGAAAAACATCTTTGTCAGGCAGCATGAAACTTCACTGTTGACCTTTTATTTTCTAGATGATAGTTGGACATGGAACATTGCACCCTCTCATATGGTCTTCATTAATGGATGGAGTTTTTCTACTGACTTGGCAGATACATATCAATGAGCATGACTCCAGACCAGACTCCATCTGCTGATGCAGACCATGTGATACGGTGGAAAGCTCCAGGCAAAAGCTAGTAGGTTGACCTTGAGTTGGGATTGTTTTGTCAAATGTTGTTTTCACTTTACAGATGGATGCAATGCTCTTTGCATTATATTACTCTTAGATTCAGATACCAAATCATGGCTGTTTGATGTCCTGGATGGTACAAGGTCCTTATTGACATCAGAACAGCAGAAACTCAACACTTCATCTTTAGACTGCACTGTGGGCCCATCTGTTTCTCTCTGCTGTTTCTATATGTATCACCTCCGCAAGCAGTTCAGCATATTTGATGAAGCTGATATAGTTTGCAGTTTTTGAGTTGAATCCACATGGTTGAATGCACTTATTAAAATGTGCTTTAGATAAAAGCGTCAGCTAAATAAATGTAATGTAAATGTAATATTGTCTGGTAGCCTGTAAAAGTCAATTCTGAAGGATGTAGTTTTTTAAAAATGTTTCATAAAGTTTCATAGTGTGACCTTGAAAAGCAAAAGCCATTTTACATTGTACCTCTGATTAAGGGCTATTGATATCCTAATATTGTATAGACCTTAACACAGTGTCACAGTGTTTTGAAAAAATATGTGTTGTCTGTGTGTCCATTCAGGCATGAATTGCACATTACTGCTCTTGAACATGCTAACAGCAGTACATGCATATAAATACACTGTGTAATTTTCACTGGCCGTGCTAGATACATTAGAAATAGATTAGGGAAAGGATGCAGTAGTGGTTTAACCAGCCAATGTTTTTTACTTGTGATTCTCTCTGCCTTAACGACACAGAACAGTAAGTAGTTTCAGTGAAGCTTAGCTAATATATATATATATATAAGTATTTATATATATATATATGTGTGTGTGTGTCATGGTAACACTGGCTCTGAAAGGAATAATACTGCTTCATACTGCTTCAATGTTTAGAATGTCTAATAAAGTCAATACTTCTGTGTTCCGCAGTGGCCAAGTTAAACTGGACTACCCAATCACAGAAGACAAATGAACCAGATGAGAGTCTGAGCCATTGCTGAGTGCTGCTACCAACATGAAGAACTGTCTGTGACTGTGTCGTTACATTATAGTCACGTGTATGTGTGAACATGACTGAACATTTCTGTGAGTGTGTGCATGTTAAAGGTGAAATAGCCTGAGTGTGAGTGGGGTGTGATGGTGTTCACCATGTCTGAGGATGAAATCATTAACTGCACCATCAGCCATGAAATCCACCAGTACCTCTTCTCCTGTGTGTACATCCTCGTACTGTTGGTAAGTGTGTGTACATCTTGAATACCTGAACAGAACTGTTGAGGTGTGTGAATACTTTATAAAATGCATAGCTAATGGAAGATTTGTTCCCACATTGAGGTCATTGTGTAACAGGAAACTGTCACATCTCAAGCTCTAGAAAGCTAGTTCCTCCTTTAAAACACAACATTGCAACACTGACGCACGAAGAACAAGCTGCAAATTGCATAGCTCTCTCATGTTGCATCAATGAGGTCATGTTTAGAACAAGAAGTAAGAGATCCGTGTGGACACGTGTTGACTTGGAGCTCATGAGGTGTGACATGAGGCAGCACAATGGCAGTTGCACAGAAGGTCCTGGGGTTAGACCTGTCGACCTTCCATTTCCACCTACAGTTAAAAGACATGATGGTTAAATGAACTGGAGACTTAATTTCCCATAGCATGTGTCTATTTGTGTCAGCACTGTAATGGCTAGGTAACATGTCAAAGCCAGGGGCACCACGTAATGAAATTTATTACATGAAATAATATACACAAAATAATTGTATTTAATATATTGTATTCCAGTTTTGTAAACAATATGACATCACTATAAATATTACAAAATATTACATAATGCCATTCTGTTACACTGTTTGTTTCCGGTGCCATCCAGAAGGGGTTGTCCATCTGCCATATACCGTCCATGCTAATGCCACTTCTGCTAGCCCTGTATACTTAGGAATTATATCCATATTGGATAACTTTGTCACTCATTATTTATGTCCAAGGTCAGCACTCAGTGACAGGGCGAGTAGTGTGCCCTTTATGTAGTGAGGTGTGGAGGTCGGGGTGGCGGATGGGTGTGAAGTGAGTCTTACTTTCATATAGAAGACAAGAGCTTGTGTTCTGTCAGAGACCTGTAGCTAATGTTTATCATAACCATAGTCTTTCCTAACCTTAATCAAGTGTTTTGTTGCCCAACCTACCATAGTTTATTTGCCATAACCATCTTCTCCTAACTTCAACCATACTATATTTAACTGTGTTTTATTACCCTAACCATAAAAAGTCACCATGTGCAGATGTTGTAGAAAGTGTAAATTTAAACAATTTAGTCATTAAACATAATCTGGGGTTTTACAGAGCTGACTGGTAATAGGGCTGTCTGAGCAAGTGTTCTAACCATGTGCTTCAATAATCAAGTAATGAAGAGGAGGCTCAGTGTGGGGAAAAAACTGGTGTCAGAGAATCCAAATAATCACAATAAATGATCTTCTTGATTCTAGATTGGCATTCCCTCCAACTTGTACTCTTTGTACCACGCTGCTCTGCAGCTGAAGCAGAAGAATGAGCTGGGAGTTTATTTAATGAACCTCACTGTGTCTGATCTGTTGTACCTGGCATCATTACCACTGTGGCTACAGTACATCTTTCAGGTAAACTAAAACTAGTCATTGATTTTGAATCTTAAGGAAGCCGAGAACGGCCATGGATTTTTTTTTTTATCTCATGATAACGACTTATTAATTCGTTATCTCCAGATAACAAAGTTATCTTTGGTCACTTACCGGTCGGCTACAGCCTCAGCCAGTGGCTATGGAAGCCGTTCGTGGCAGCGCATTTGTCGGGCTCCGGGCTGTCCCCCATTCGGTTTGCTTGCTGGTCTCGGTTTATCTTCTTTTTTTTTCAAGATCCGTCATCCGGTCATTTTACTTATTTAAATTGTAGTGTTGTTATCCTTTGGTTGTTGCTGAATATGGCTGTCCCTTTCTTCTGTTTTTCTTCCTTCTTTCTCTCTCTTCTCCCCCCAACTTGGGGTTTCAAAGGCGTATGGACCCCACCTAGAAGGCGAAGGTTCTTTTTCCTAGGTTTTCTGGCCCTGTAAAAAAAAGGCGTTTCCTTGCCCCGGTCGCCAGTTTTTTCTCCGTGGTGTACATTGGGGCTTGATTTAAAAAGGGGGGGTTGGGGTTCTGAACTGGCTTCTATTTTGAAAGTGTTCTGGAAGTATTCTGTTTATGAATTGGCGGTATTACCAGATAAAGTGAATTGGGGAAATGGATTATTGGGATCATCCTCAAGCCCACTGGGCCCGAGTTTTTGGGGAACAGTTTTGTCCATTGGTGGCCCACTTCTTGCCGCTGAACCAGGGGACTCACTGATGGAATTTTTTGACCTTGTCCAATTCAAAGGTACGCCTCCAAAACGGTTTAACGGGGGCAAACTTATATCTATTTTTTTAACCTCTAAATGTACATAATTTTAATAAATTTTTGGAGCATCATGATGTTATTGGGGGAAGGCGTGTTAAACAAGGACCTGGAGGGACCCTTAAAACTCATCAGGTACTTTTTACTTGGCTCAAAAAATAAGTGTCCCAAACGGCTTCCAATTTCTCCATTAATAGTGAAATCGCTGTTGGCTACTGGGCAGGCAATGGGGGAAAGCATCCCCTGCAGGAATTACCCAAAAGAAAGGAGATTATTTATTGAATTCATGTTTGGGTTTCCCTTTTCGGAACCGAAAGGGGTCTGTTCCCTTATATAAACCTTGTTTTCAATGGTCTGGGGACGTTGTTAGTTTGGAAACACACATAAACAATAATCTGGGGACTAGCAATTTTGGTCATGACGGTATTCCCAACTGGATACCTTTGTTAGGAAAAAGAACTGTTACCTTGCCAAAATTTAAAGGTTTGCAGTTCTCCTCCCAGGGCAGGGGGTTTGCGGACCCCAACAGGAAAGATTGTGGGTTAGGGGGGGAAGGCAGACAAGAAGTGGAGGGATGGGTGTTTTGCTGGGCAACTTGCCTAATCCTATTCTTTTGGTTCCGGGTGTGGTCCCCAGGCGGCTCCGGACCCCCACCAAGAACCGGAAGGGGACGCAAGGTAGCTGATTTCTGGGACAGGAAAAACCATTGTATTTGGGATTAGATAATAATCGGACTATTATATTTATTATAATCCTTTCTTTGTCTTCCTTTCTCTGGAAAACCTCTATATTCACTTTTGAACTACCACCAACAATTTAACCGTCTGGAAGACCATTAATGGGAGGGGTTTGTATGGTTTCAAGGTAGATAAGCCCAAAGGGCCAAAATAAATATTTTGGGGTTAATTTCATTCCACAATTTTTATTTAGGGGCATCAAGGGGAATTTGTGGCAAGAATTTTTGTGTAAATTCTGTTGTTCCTCTTAAGGTTTTTCAATTTCCCAGGATCACTATGTTTGAAGGGGGAGTATGTTGTGGCAGGATAAGGCACGTTGTAGGCCTAAACTTTTTGGCCAAAACAGAGTTGGCCAAAAATGTCGGCTTACACTTTTTGGATTTCAAGCCCATAAACATTCTTTGGGGACCACCTGGGCACCTGTGTAGAATGTTATGGGAGGCCCATACCCAAACTGCCTCTGGGCACTTTTATCAGGAACCCCAGCATTACTTGTTCAGCAGTTTGAGCTTCCAGTGGTTGGTTCTTGGTTGGGATCGAACAAACACGGGGGGCCAGTCTCACTCTCCACCGTTGCATCAATGGCCTGGGGGGCCCCCATGGACCTGGGTCTTCAGGTTTTCCTTTCTTGTGGGCCACTATGGTTTAAAAAACTTGGAAAACCACTGCGACCAGGACACCCCAAGAAGCTGCAAGTTTTTTTAATTTTATTTGGGAACCTTTTCAAAAGTTCGGGGCTTTCCAAAATCCTCCAACAACCTAGCCATTTTTTTCCTGGGTTCTTAACACCATCAACTTTTTCTGATGACCAAAAAATGTTCCATGTTGAGGGCCTAATTTATCCCACCATGACAGGAGCCATTGTAACAGAATTCAGTTTTGTTATTTCATTTCACCTGGGTTCAGGTTGGGTATATGTTATGGTGGGTTTAATTGTACAACGATTTCCCCAAAGTTCCAGGGAAGGTCTGGAACTTTTCCCATTAGCGGGATTGGACTTGAAGAGAAGGAGAGGTGACAACCCAAATGGGCTGGGGAAAAAAAAAAAACATGTTTTTTTTTCTGTGGAATAGCACTTTGGTTAACTTTGGGCCATGGAGCACGAAAAAAATTTAACAGTTTGTAAAAGTAGAAAGATCCACAGGATTATTTGGTTTCACAAAATATTCATACAATGTGATCCCAGTATAGATTAAGTAAAACCAATTTCCCAGATAGAATGGGCCAGCGGGGGGACATGGAAGCTAGGTGACAGCGGGTAGTAAAGTTGGATGGGGGGATACTTCCCCAACGGCTTCATTGGGGTAAGTTGGCTCGAAGCAAAAACTGATTGGTTTTTGCGGGTCTTTTTGGGCTCAGGTTTCTTTTTAATGGCGGAAGAAAAAACCCCACGGCCCACAGGGGCATCTTCTTTAAGCCAGGTTGATGGCGTTAACCGAATTTCCCACGCTGCGCTTTTCATTTAGAGCGGAGGAGGAAAGTTAAACCTAGGGACCAAACGAGGAAAAAGGGGGATAGGTCAATTGCATTAATCGATTCTTATATAGTTTCTATTGATTTGAAATTAATAAGATTGGGAACAGGGTTGTGGAAAGGTTGAGTAGGCTTAATGGTAAACCAGTGGGTGGGGAAAAAATTTACCTTTAGCATTTCTTTGTCATGCGATTTGAATTACCTAAAAGGAATGACCCAACATCCAGGGTAGCGGTTTTCCAGGACTGGTTACAGGGGGCACAGGGAAAAAACCAATTGGGGTGCTGTATGATGTTCTCCATAAGAGGCCGGGGAGCCCAAACAGTGGGACAAGGCCACTTCCCTGTTGACGGCCAGTTTCGTCTTCCTGAGGGAGCAAACACCACACAAAAAAGTTTTCAGATTTCTAGGGGGTTAAACGTGGCCAATTTGGACAAAAAGGGCAGAGGAACGGGGACTATAATTAAATTTAGGGTTACCTTGAACTTACAGGGGACCCAACACTTTATAATGAAAAAAAAAAACAAATTTTTTTACCAATGAGGGGCTTTGGGGAAGACTGCTGTTAAAATCTCAAAAACTATTTATTTCAAGATATTTTCCACTGGGTTTTAGGGAGGCGTCTAAGTGGCCAAACTTTATGACAACCCATTTATAAAAGTTGCATTAGGCCGATGCAGGCCAAAACCACTGTGGCAACTGACCAGGGAGGGATTAACCCAATGTTATCTGGGTTACATGGCTTCCTTCAGGGTGGGGTTGTATATTAAGGGAATGCCATTAAAATTTTGGTTTTCAAAAGTATGTGTTTAGAGCAGGAAAATGGGGTCAGTTGTGAGGATTTGAGGATTGACCAAAAGGGGCCAATTGTGGATGAGTGGATGGGGACTGGGGTTTTTCCAAAACCAAACTTTTTTCTGCTTTCTAAAGGGGGGCATTGCCAAGGAAAAGTTTGAGAAACCATGGCCATTAATGGCCAATTGTAATATGTAAGCACCTTAAATTACTTTTTGCATTTTATTAAATCTAACCAACTTATTAGAGTTTTGTAAAAAAACATTGTGACATTTTTTCACAATTTTTTGATATAATGTTATGAATAGCTTATGATATTACGGCAAAAGTAAAAAACTGTTTATGTGCCAATATTTTTTTTCAATATGGCAGGTTAATATCCCCCCATCATCCTTTTATTTATTTGATTCACCCATAGATATGTTTATGTTGGCCTATCAGTTTGTGCAATGAAGGGAATTAGGGAATGAAGGGGATTTTTATAACGGGAAGCGGAGGACGGGCCCATGGGATATTTTTTTAACCCACTGTTATAATTCGTGCTATACACCCACATACTTATTCTGTTATTCTCGAAAAATAAAACCCCACAACGTTTCTCCGTGATACATATAATTAATAAGTGTTTTGGTTTTTTGATTTCCAACTACCAAGAAGCTGCAAAAATGGGGTTCGTCAGTTAAAAACAAATAAAGTTAAATTTAAACCGTTTTTAGCCTACAGGGCTACAGCCAGTGGTTTCGGGGAACAGCCGTTCGTTGGGCAAGGCTTTGTACCCAAAAGTTTGTCAATCTCGGACCATAAACCAAGTTGGTTTTTCTCAGAAGTGATAACGGAATGGGAATTACTTCGTTATCTCGACTAAAACAAAAAGATTCGTTTTCCTCGTGATACAAATTTATTAATTAAAGTGTTCGTTCTTACTTTAAAATTTTAATTT